TGAAGTTTTCATATTTTAAGTTGTTGAGATGAGGATAACGTATAAGAAAAAAAAAACCATGAATACTTTAATAACTTTTAACTCTTAATAAAATTGATAGCTATAATAGTTATTTTACTTTGACTTGGGTATAAAAAAAATATTACTATCGCGTGATCTTCTTCGATATTTTCACAATCAGATTGTATAAATCGTTTTGCAAATTTTAATAATATCGCTCGATATTACTTTGATTGTAGCATATTAATATTGATGTGGTATAATCTTTCTCACATTTGATGTTAAAAAATAATTTTTATTTATATTAGTAAACATATAATTATTGAGTAGACTTAAGCAGCYCCCTCTCGCTCCGATTGATGAMAAAGAAATAGAATTGTGGGAGGCCAGGGAAGACGGATTGGATCGAGAGGCGATGCTTATACCTYTTCTTCGAGCATTTGACAAACTCACACCATCCATTTCAGATAATGTGAGGTAACTTAGTTTTTGTAAGAYTTGAAGACTATCTTGGATGATTTTTTTTAATGTAATCTAACCTTCACAACAAAACATCAGATCACTACTAGAAAACAGAGAATCAGCGACGGATAGACCAAAAATCATTTCCCTCGCAGATCAGCAACAAATTAGTGAGGGAACTGGTTTTTGGCTTATCCATCGCTGATCTGTCGTTGATCAGCGAGGAATCTGCGAGGGATAGGCCAAAAATCAGTTCCCACGCTTATCCTATCGTTGATTAGCGAGGGAAATGGTTTTTGGGCTATCTCTCGCAGATTCGTCGCTGAACAGCGAGGGATCTACAACAGATAGGCTAAAAACAGTTTTCTCACTAATTCGTCGCTGATCAGCGAGGGATCTACGAGGGAAATGGTTTTTGCAGATCCCTAGCTGATTAGTGACGGATAGACCAAAAACCRATTCCCTCGCTAATCCATTGTTGATTAGCGAGGAAAATGATTTTTGGTCTATCCGTCGCTCATCCTTCGCTGATCAGCAAGGGATCTGCGAGGGATGGGCCAAAAATCACTTTCTTCGCAGATCTCTCGTAGACTAGCAACGTGGTATCCATCGCTAATCAGCGAGGGATTATCCTATTTTTCTTATTTTCTCATTTTTTATGTGTTATATGCACACATGTTTATATGTCGGTGTCATATGAATACATGTATATGTGTTATATGTATATATGATGAAGATATATGTATTTTGGTTGCTAACCGCGATAATTAAATCTATGTTTATATTGTTGAAGATATATGTTTTGGTTTCGGTAGTTAGATTCTATGAATTTGAACATTAAATTGTATGAATTGTATATCTTTTTGACATGCGATTATAATGTSTTTCAAGGTCTTTTTTCTGATATGAACAACACTTCATTTCAAAGAATTTTTCCCTTGCATGGGTAGTGTGCTCGATTGGATTGTCTATAGATTTTATGTTGGAGTTCTTCAGGAGACTGRGATTGTTGGATTTGTAATTATCGATATTCTCCAAGGCTCAAATATCAATCTCTAAGGCGACCTTGRCATCTGGTTATGAACCTTTTAATTACTATGTCAATATCATAATACTAGAGTTCTGCACTACACCATGTTTSMATCTCAAAGCTTTTGTCTCTCCATCTTGATGGAGGGATATCATCAAAGGTGARCTGYTGTTTAGTATCACTTTTTGAAGTTTTGGCCCGTCTCTAGGGTGTTGATTCTRAGCCAGTGTCATTTGGTCYTTCTTTGACTTCTGGATCAATATGATATCTTGTTCCTGGTTCTGTCATGAACAAGTGTTTGATTACCTCTGTTGGGTCGAAATCATCTTTTATATAAGTGGAGGGAGAAATGATTGGTGCAACAACACTGTATACTGTAGGGGTATTCTTTTGGGTCAAAGACTGTAAGAAGAAAGAAATATGGTYCATTTCTTCTATTGGTAGAACACTGGGTGGCCTCAAGGAGGCSACCATAGAGGTATCCTCTGGGAGTACCTTTATTCCACTGGAGGTTTATCTCAGTTCTCTCTGACAGAGATGTCTATATGAATGGTGACGAGGGAAATGGTTGTGGATCAAATGCGGTTCCGACAYAAGGAGTGGGAGATAACCTCCATGGATCATCAACCAAGGTTGATAATYGTTTCTGCTTGTATTGTCTTTCGAGATCCATAAACTGAGTCTTTAGGAACTTCATTTTTGTTCCCTTTTGAGTGAGAGCATTGGACGTTGGTAACGAACTATTGTGAACTATCTGAATAAATTCATTTTGGAGTCCTTATTTCTTGAACTTGCTTGATTTAGGGTCTACATATGGTATAAAGTTTTGAGTTTTCTAATTTCTCTCGTTTCAACTAAATAAGCTTAATTAATAGTGGTCAACTTAATTGATTAATTAAAATATTTGATTTTAACATAATATTAAGAGATGGTTTAACATGCGAAGGATAAGTGTAACACGATTAATTTCATGGATTGTTCGATGAGAAAAGAGGCCACTTTTATCCTTGAAAATCCAATTCCCACCAATTGATCATTGAAGAYGAAAAGCGTGTATCAGTTTTGTCATATSTAAATATTATATACTTTTAAAGRAAATATAATTATCGATGCTCCAAGGTAACAACTTTCTCAAAATCTTACAATTAACAATCACACCAACCTCCCCMATCCAAAGGTATTGTTAAAACCTGAATGATGAAAATGATAAGCCATAAGATTTAATTCTGTTTTGGATTTTCCAGGTGCGATAATGTCATAGAACCAACTGCTCTACTCTTTGAGACATGAGATATCACCTCCACATGAGATACACCAAGCTCGTTTGATTTGGTTTCATCATGTTTAAGCCCCGMGATAAACCATTAAAAGAACACATTCTTAGAGAGAAATGAAGATGACATGAAAGTCTGGAATTTGGTWAAGTTTTCAAGCCAAAAGCCTAAAACAAACTTCTGAAATAAGCTACAGGACACCAACATAAATAACATCGAAGCTTACGACAATACTCACCAACTTCAGATCCGAAAGCCAAATGGTTCATCAAGAAGCTTAATCCATTCTACCTTTCAAGATTCTTTCGGTCACTTCGGTTGGTGTGCTGCAGACAACATTCCAACATCTCAACTTTTTTTCATCATTGAAAATGAATGTAATTCAACAAAAAAATGTAAGCAAACTTACACAACGTAGACATGTCCTCCCCAACCACTCAAACAATCACGATCTACTGATGATAAAAGCGCTTGGGAGATGGTCTCAAACAGCTCCTCGTGTTCCTGCATATATATACACATGGTATCGGTACATATAATATGACAGATTTGGTGAAGATATAATATTACAGATTTAGTCTCAAAATAAGTGTCAACGTTTTTATTTTAGTTTGTCCCAAAATAAATGTCCACTTTCAAAAGTAGGTGTACACTTTCTAATTTTACAGGTAACTATGAAATGRAGAAATTCATTACTCCATCTATTATTAAAGGTAAAATTGTCATTTCGTTAATTAARTAGTGTAAGAATTACACGTTATAAAATTGTGTCTTTTTTAATGTGGACATTTACTTTGGGGCGGAGGGAGTACCTAGTAGGAAAATTGCCAAATCCACTAATTTTTGATGTGTTGTCATCTCCACCGGTAGATATTTCCATGACCACAAGCGCATTAAGCAATAGTTGGGGGTACCACAAGTCATTGATCATATATATGACAAAGGTTTAAATATATACTGCAATCCAAGATATTTTTGTATTTTTGGAATTACTATATCTACTCAACATACAGAGGATCAGTCTTTTCCCCTTGAATCTGGTTCAACCTWGATGGCCACTTTTAAGATGAGATGTTGAACCTCCAATATACRTAGGTACTAAATGTTCAGTGGCTCATATAGATGCATCTTTAATTAAATAAGGTCAGCTGGAAAAGTACTTTCTTTTCCTTTTTTGCGTGACCGTGGGTATCCGGGCCAGCTTACGCACACCAAGTAATCCCCGGGTGACCATGAATGGCCTGGAGTCATCGGAGGTGAACCTCCATGGCCACAAGGGCTTTGGTGGTGCCTGGATTCCAACCTAGGGAACCCCCCCCCCCCCCCCCGGGGGGCGGGCAGAGCCTTAGCTAGTGAGCCACAACCCAAGTGGTTAAAAAAATTATTGACAGCTTTAAGATAAAATGAAGAACTAAAGAATTGGAATGTAGAAACATACCATGTCAGGCTTGAACATGGACTCACAAGCACCATAAAGAGACTCTGAGGCTGTTCCAGCCACCACAAAATCTTTTGCGAGCTCTCTACAATTGAATTCAAAAGGGAAAGATAACGAATTAATGCCAGCTTTATATGTTCTCAATTTCATYAAAGCCACATTCCCAGATATTTATCTACCTCGTCTGTGTAACCGCACATAGAAGTGGTGAAACTACTTAGAGAAACTAGTCGTTAAAGGATAAAATGATTGTTTACTTACAATTATATGGTTGTATTTTAATCGGCTGTAGAAGCAAATCTAGTAGTTCAATACTCTTACACCAGCATAACCCTACGGTCATGTTGACCACTCTAGTGTGCAAGGCACCCTGTACTTTTTTTATCCTGAGTGTATACCTCGTGGAACTAGAACATGCATGATTGCAAAAACTGAAACAAAACTTTATCATCACACCTACCATATATGCACTTCCACACTCAAATCAAACTTGATAAACTTCAACTTGAACATAAAGACATAAGAAAAAAACTCATCAGTTGTTCTTGCATCTGCATCATATAGAAGTAYAGGACTAGAAATTTTGCAGAACCTTCAACTTGTGACTTCAAGTCTCTTTGGAGACATGCRTGTGTGTGTGTGTCCAAATTACGGTCTCAAAAAAAAAAATATCTCCTTTGCATAAAAGAATGAATAACAACAAAAGCATAAAAAGTAGACCTACTTTGCTCCAATTGAGTCCATTGTGCAAATGAACGGCTTGTCATCATCTCCCAAACCAGCAATTACAGGTTGGCAGAAATAAGGACCAAACCTACACAAATTGCAAGTAAATTCAATTAATCCCGCATTTATATAACTTTGTGACAATACTTGTGGTAATAAGATGGACAAAAAAAGAGATGGGACTTCGGAATTGAAACAATAAGAACTCTGTAGGAGAGAAGAAAACTTCTTACTTACATAATGACAACCTTTTATGAAGTATTCTACTATACTAGTACCACAGTACGATGATTCCAAGAAAATTTCACGTGAAGCAGGAGAAAATAAATTGACAATCACATRGCAATACACGACCTTCCAAATTATTTTCTAAATAGATATAATGGGAGACCATTAATCATGTAGGGAACTGTTCAATCATGTTTATTAGCTGTACATGTGTACATCCTCAATATGGATCGTGCATTGCAATGTAGTTACAGAATATTCACAGATTTATGGGTTATTAAAGCTCATCCAGAGCAGAACAAACACATTTATACATTACTACATGACTAATGTTTTCAATAGTCCACTTTAGACGTTGATTGCAATAGCAAAACCTAGGTGATAAGCAATATAAATCTTTTCCAAGAGCAAATCACCATGCAATCAGAACTAGTTTGCCACCTACGATTTGTGCACCAACCTGAAATTGGCAGCCTAGGATTTGTGTATCAATCACATTCCTTTTTTAATTAACAATTCTCTTCAGCGTTAAAAAATGTACTTAAAAGGCATGTTGGTTGATGCAATTAACAAGTAGTTCTTTACAAACACATCATTGTTGGTTTCTTAAAACTTTTCATCAATCCCTGTGATCAAGCAGGAGTTATCTACTTGACCCAAMGGTAAAGAAAAGTCACTTGCAAGTGGTAAGGAATAGTTAGGCAATTTGAGTAGTTAAAACTCTAGGCTTGAAAGTCTAGCCATGACCCTTGAGTCTTGACCTTAGTTTATTCTTTGTACTTACGAGTAATGTTCAAAGTATATATATTTCCCCTTTCCACAAAAAACGAGCAATTCAATTTTCATGGTCAAATTCATTACTATTCAAGTTCATAATTGACAAACAACATTACAAATTCCACAACTGTTAAGAGCACATCATTATTAGAAAAACAGAAGTTACTTGAAATTCTTTACAATTGTTCTTTTGAATAGGAACTAAAATTAGCATAAGCAAGAGGCTCCCAACGTTGTTAAAGACTCAAGRTGCACTTAGGCGCAAAGGAGTCTGGGAGCCTAGGCGCGAGCGGGCCTCAGGAATGCGATGCGCATTCTGATACGCATCTTGTCAGATAATATATATATATAGACTTGTAATCACGTGAGACCAGCCTGTTTTCATGAGACCCGTGAGATCATTTTTTTACACGTGAAACTTCACAGCAAAACGCTGTGAAGGTAAAAAAAAGCCGAACATTCACAGCAAAAACACTGTGAAGGTTACCTTCACAGCGTTTTTCTGTGAAATTTTAAGTGTAAAAAAGTGGTCTCACGGAAACAGGCTGGTCTCAATATATATATATATACTCTATACATAAGCACACTAAACGGTTACATATTGAATTTTAAGAGGTATCTATTTTTATGCGTGATGTACAAGTTTTGAAACTGCACAACCTCCATGAAAATTCCATGTTCAAAAATAATATTAAAAATCAAATATACCATTATAATTAGTTATTTAATTTACTTTATATCCCTTATTTTTGATTTTTCATTTTACACCCTTATTATTTTTACATTAATAATTGTATTTGAACTAAAATACATTAAAAAATAAGTTTTCTTATTTACAAATTATACCATTATAATCGTCTCATCAATACCTTCAAAATGAACCAAATATTGAATATTTTTTTTGATTTAATCATATTATTATATAGCATACATACGTAGTGAATTAATTTTAAAAACTTACATTTTATACCTTATAGTTATTTATTTACTTTATTTTATATCCATTTCTTTTTCATTTTTCATTTCACACATTTATAATATTTGATTSAATTTATAGAGGTACAATCCATTATGCATCCTCTACAACTCTTACAAGGTTCAGCTTCCACGTCCAACTCCAACCACTAATCCACCTTTCCAAAAGCTCCTACTTTCTCTCCCACTCTCCCCCAACCCAACAAACCTCTACCCCCACCATGAAATCTACCAACCCACTGAAAGTTCTAATCCCCTAAAACTTGTCTTCAATATTCAAATGGCAAATCGTCTTCATTCAGGTACCATATCTTTCTTGTTGCGCTTTTAAATGAGTGGAAAGAAACTAATAAACTTCAGTAAATATAGAGTGGAGCAAATGTTAAATCCCTATCTCAACAAGATTTCTTCTCTTCTTATAAAATTCTTATTTCCTTGCTTTTGTTGGTTTGCATATTTTTTATCATTTGTATTCATAGCGGGGTTTTGTTGTTTCTTTTTGTTGGCAAGATGGATAATGATTTCCCTAATTTGATTTCWAGCTTTCTCCATATCTGGTTTAGATGATGGTTCTTGTCATATGTTGGGTCATTGACCAGCATCTTCCTAAATCGAAACGTGGCGCAAGCTGCTACGCTATAAGGAAATAAGTTGCGCCTTCTRCACCAACAATTGCTTTTGGCGTAGTGGTAAGCGCTTGGATCCTAACATGTGGTATCAGAGCAGGTCATGGGTTCGAATCCCATGGAGTGCATAATAATGCCAAAGGCATGCTGTGCAGCCATCGACTTCTAGCGAAGATCTTGTTAGTGCTGGCAGATGCTAGGGGGGGGGGAAGATTGTTGGGTCATTGACCAACATCTTCCTAAATCGAAACGTGGCGCTAGCTGCTACGCTATAAGAAAATAAGTTGTGCCTTCTCCACCAGCAATTGCTTTTGGCGTAATGRTAAGCGCTTGGATCCTAACATCATATTTTCCCTAATTATCTCRACCCTGTTGAACCCGTCAAGGTAACTTCCTTTTTTAATTCCTTTGCAGTGTGCATTAATTGAATCTGACTTTTTTATTGCYGTCTTGGTTGAGCAGTGAAGAGACATCAACATCAATTTGAAATCAGAAGCATCGAAGCAGATTTTTGTTAATATCAGGATTAAGGTTAGTTTTCTTTCTCATTTCAATCATGTATTTCCACTKATCTTCTTTTTCATCTCTTTATACTTTCTGAGTTGCCAAGACCAGTGCCACCAATTGGAGTGCTTGTAGTTTTGTTGGATGAATTGAAAGAAAAAACAGACAACTTTGGATCAAAGGTGTTGATTGGTGAAGGATCATATGGAAGAGTTGATTCTGCGAACTTATACAAAGATAAAATTGTGGCTGCTGTCAAGAAGCTCTATGTCTTGGCTTATGACTTTGAAACCATGGGATCT